CCCCCCCCCCCCCCCCCCAACCGCCGGCCACGAGCCCCGAACTTCTTTCGGTTTCTCGAAAACGATATGCTTTGACTACCGAAGAATATTTTGTCTCCACGGTCCGTCCGGTGACGTTCACGTGTTGAACACAGTGGTACCCCACCAATGCCGCTGTTTACGGTACTGCGGATGATACGATTGTTTATGAAAAATTTGGCACGATGCCACCACCAATGATCAGTGATAGGACGGCGGAAGGGTTGGTCTGGATTAGGGTCGGGGGGGGGGCACCGCAGGAAATATCGTTGTGTTTGTACCGCCCCGTCAGAGCGAGAAGAGAAGAGAAGAGAAGAAGAATAGCTAATGTATTTCCGTTTTGAAAATTCGATTTCTAGTGAAAACAAACTGATGATGATGTGTGCTTCGCCTTTTCGTGTCGTTGGCCTTGTGTGTAACCATTTTTTCGCAGAAACTACTGCTGCCTGTAGAGACCAGTGTACCTGTCTAGTTAACAATGATGACACCGTGATGTTTGTTTGAATCCTCTGTCGAACGTATAGGTAGCCTTCACGTTGCTTGGCGTATCAGTCGACGTCGTTGTCAAGCCAGGGAGAGCAAAATAACGGACGGGCCTTCTTCAACAAACCCGTGCGTGTCGCAGCACCTTCTTTCCTCAGGAGTGAGTGCGCAGCCACAGCGATCTCCTCGTTATTGACTAGCGCGGTTCGCTTTCGACTGGCGATGAACCTACAGTACTACCCGTTGGAATGTTTTTGAGTAGTCTATGTATGCGGTGCTCTTTGGCCCGACGTCGCTTGTCTGGCGAGGAAGCGCGATGACGGCGATGTTTGTGTACCTCGCATGTTAGGGATTGAGGATCGTGAACAATTTGTAGGAGCGGGTTCATACAGGAAACCTCACTTGTGTGAATGGTGTGCGATCAATGCCCGTGTTTTTTTTTTTGCCAAGAGGCGGACCGAGTGGCGCCACGTTTGTTTGCAGGATTGAACCCCTTGATTGCCTAATCCCCTCCCCCCATCACTGATGCACCATTACACCAAACCCCCCGCGAGCGATGACATGATTTTGCTGTCTCAGGGGTGGCCCTTTCTGTTTTGTTGTTTTGTTTGTTACAGTAGTTCGTCGCTACAGTGGTGGGTTTCTGGCGTTCGTTGTCTCTCTCTTTTTCTTCCCGTCTTCTCTTTTTATCTTCTCTTTTCCTTTGTTTTGTTTTCCTAAAAATAATAGAACCCAACAATTCCATCGCTATCTATAGAAAAGAGTGTAAGATAGAGCAGCAATAAATCCATGGCGTCAGCGGAGGCTATTGTTTTTCATTGATGTTCCTTTCCAGATCGTGACAGTCTTTCTTATCTTCTGTTAAGTACCAAGAACCAGGGACATACCTACCCTCTGACAAGTGCTGTTGACTTCCAGTCTACAGTAGTATACCTCGCAAAGCGTGAAGCGAGTGGAGGCTGCTACTCTGTAGGCTATCTATCTGTCATTGATTTCTGTTGACTTGCGGACCCTTCGAGTGCATTATGCATTTTGGTATACTTTTTTTTGGGTAAGTTAGCCTGTGACCACGGGAACCGACCGCGTCAAGTGTCGGACTGGTACGGACAGATGAAGATATTGGGTAGAGATTAGAAAGGTTTTGAATGCGAAGACAACAACAATAACAAATCATTCGAAGCCTACTATAATACGGTACGTGCACCACCAGCTTCGGTTGTACTCGGCATTTTCTGTCGTCCTAACAACCAGCCTTTGATTTACCAAGTCTACACGTACGAGGTGTACACCACAACTTCGACCTCACGGTCGACGGGGGGATGGAACGGCTGAATCCTTCTCGCAAAACGGAAAAAAGAAAGCACAGCAGAAGAAGACAAGGTGGAGACAAAGGTTGATGCCATTTCTTTTTGGGGCCTTGTTTCGTTCTGTGTGACCCCGCGCGATTGGCGAAACCAGGTAGCACACGGAAAGATGCAAGACCGACGACGTCCAGAATGGATGGGACGGCACACACGTTGGAGACCTACTACTATTCGCCGTGTGTTCCAGCTATACCGTGTTGCTTGATACCCTTTGTGCCACGATAATTTCCCCTTGGGTTGCCAACGCTGTTAGAGACCTCTAGTGCTCGCCGTGTGCCACCAACAATCAGGCTGTTTTCACATTGTTTTTCACACGGACGACAGTACTTTCAGTGCACAGACAGACGAGCATAGGTTTCAATTTTCTCGATGTGACAATTTGTTTGGTCGAGTCCACGGACTGCAACTTCCATCACCTCTCTCCCTTAAAAGTGTGGTTAGTCGGTGAGTCATCTGGTCTTCGAGAAGAGTGAGATGACAGCCTTCACGCACCACTCGCTCGCGTCGCTTGCGGTGAAAAACAAAGCTGGTTTACCCCCGGGTCACGCGTCAGCATTTTACGTCATTCAATAACCCTTGCTTGTGCGGCGTAACGTCAAACAATGTGAATCTAACGCCCGGGTACTGCAGGGTACGACCTTGAGCGGTGTTGTTGTGCGCTCGCTCGGCACAAAAAATAGGGCAGAAAACAAGGAAATCAGCGTGGGGATCGGCCACTGGTTGACCGGCGACGACAGCGTCCGGAACCACAAACGTCCACGCAGCAGTGAACAAGAGACGCAGGCGGGCGGCACCATGGCCAAATAAAACGTTGTATTCATTTATCTCAAGAAACTGCGCGCCCCTCCCAACTCTGGCTGGCTCTAGGCCATCGGTCAACCTCATTTTTCTACTGAAACACACAGGAGGAGGAGGTAAAATGCCAAACACGCGTCGAAACCACGAACAACGAAAACAACGGCCACGGATGAACAAAGCATCACGCCTCGAAATTGAAATCTACCGCCCGACTAGGCACGATCTGCCAATCAACCGTCCATCTCCTCCCCCGACACGCAAGAAAAAACAATGCCACCATTACTAGTCGCCGCGTACATTGATTAGCCCTCTCACGATTTTCGGGGGGAAAAACACACCAAATACATACTGTAGACACATGACATGGGAGTTCTACCCGCCTTACCTCACCTCCCATCCCCGACCCCGAATGATAGACCTTTATGCCTCTAGAGAACCCCCCCCCCCCCCCCCCCCCCCCCNCCCCCCCCCCCCCCCGTGGCAGCCCCACCCTATGACGAACAAAGATGGAGGACATACTTCTACTGCTGTCACCCCCCTGTCGACCGCCCTCAAAACATGCGGCTGCTACTGCCCCCCTCGATCGCTGCCCGACCAGCTCGTCTCCCCCTGCGAGTAGTATCTCTCCCTCGCGCTAAGCTCCGAAGACGGCGAAGGCTGCCGCTGCCGCTGCCGCTGATGCTGCTGCTGCTGCTGCTGAGCCCCGGCGTCCTGCGCGCCACCCTGCTGCAGGTGCACGTGAACGTTGCCGTAGATGTTGATCGGCGATTGGCTGCCGCCGTCGAAAAGGCGAGGCGACGCCACCCAGCCGCTGGTACGAGCGGCGCCGTCCGCCGCAGAACCGGGAAGCGGTTCTGGCAACAACGCCGCCCCGCCGCCGTTACCCCCCACCCAGTCGCCGGGGCCGTAGTGCGGCACGCCGCCACCCCCCCCGTACGCCGACAGCTGGTTCCCCCCGGCCGTCGCCGTCGTTGGCGACGCCGCCGCCGCTCCCGCTCCCGCTCCCCCCCTCCGGCTCTGCTCCCAGTACGCGTCGAGCTGGTCCTGCAGGTGCTGGTCGTTCCAAATCTCGTCGCTGGCCGCGGAAGGCGGCAACTCGATCGGGTCCAGCAGCACCCGTACATCCGACTCGTCCTCCAAATCTTCCTCCTCCTCCTCCTCCTCCTCCTCCTCCTCTTCCACTTCTTCTTCTTCTTCTACCAATGCTACTACCGGATCAGAGTTGGCCGCATCGGGTTGAGGCGGTAACGTTTCCCAGCGCCTGGTGTTTCCCCACAACGATCCCGCCGAGCCCGCGCCCGCCGCCGATCCAACCTCGGGAAGCGCCGTCGCCTCCGCTGCCACCGGCGGTTCTCCTTCCTCCTCCTCTTCGCCCGCCACCGCCGCCGTGCTCGTGGCCCCGGGGGGAGCACCGCCGGGCGTCGATCCGCCGCCGCGCGCCCGCGCGTCTGCTGCGGCATGAACGCTTGCGTCACCGTGCGAGGAGGGAGTACGACGAGCCTGGTCTGCCGCTTGCGTGGGTCTCGCCGCCGGCTGCTCTCGCACCGCGTCCACCGCCTCCTCCTCGTGATCGACAACAAGAGAACTCCAGCCTTGCCCCGGCACGCCCCGTGACCCGACCGCCGCCGCCTCCGACGGAAGGGGGTACTCCACGCCTTCGGCATCGGGATCGTCGGCGTCGTCGAGGATAATGCTGTCAAACAGATCGTCCAGCTGGTGCTCCACCTCTCTGTCGATCATCGCCTGGTGCTCCGACGACGGCGGCGGCGGCGGCTGCAGCGGCGGCGGCGTCGGCGACAGCGTGGACACGCCGCTATCGCCGTCGCCAACAACCCGCGGCCTCTCGCTGCCAATGCTCGGCGGGTCGTCCCCGTTGCCGATGGTGCTGTCCATGCGCTCCAACTCGCGTATGAGCGCCTTCTCCTCGCTCTCCAGTTGGAGCTTCTCTTCCGAGCCAGGAACCTCCACCGTCTCCCCGGACTCGCCCTCCGCTCCTTTCCCCTCCTCGTCACCGTCCTCCTCGACCCCGGTCCCCCAGTCTACCTCCTCCTTTCCATGGTCTGCCGAGCTTGGCATCGTGTCTAGGGCGCCGTCGCCCCCGTTCGACGGCAATGAGACGCCGCCGACGCTGCTGCTGTCAAATGCCTCCGTCCCTACCACGGGCTCCCTCCCTCCCGCACGACCCTCAGAGGGTGCAGTAGCATCAGCGATGTCCACACCGGGCCACGTTGCTGCTACTGCTGCTGCTGCCGTCGACCCGCTCCCCGAAACGCCGCCGCCTTGTGGGTCAGCCGGTACCGTGGCCGTCATCGATCCGGCCTTCCCTACATCATCCTCCTCCCCGCCTTCGGCTGCCGGCTCTTCCCTAGCGGGGACGGCATCCACGCCTGGGGTTGACCAGCCCTGCCCTATCGCCGCAGCTCCCGCTTGCGAGGGCTCAAACGACGGCTTCGAGCCGCTGCTGCCCGCCACGCCGTGCCTACCCTCCGGCACCATGGCGGCACCGAACGTGTCCACCACGGTGTCATCACCGATGCTGCCGCCGCCGCCGCCGCCATCGTCTTGCGGCGGAACAGGAGGCGGAGCTTGAGGGTCGAAGAACGGCGGGGGAGGGGACGCGGGGTGTTGCCAGCCCTGCCGGTTGTCGAAAGAGGCATCGGTGGAAGCGGCGGCGCTGCCGCCACCGAGCGGGTACCCGCCCTGCTGCTGTGCCACCTCCGGCGGGGGGTCGTAACCCGGTGCTGGTGGACCAGGAAACGCCGACTGCTGCTGCTGCTGCTGCTGCTGCTGCTGCTGCTGCTGCTGCTCGTAGCCACGACCGAAGCCGTCGTTCGAGGCCTGTTGAGCCTGCCCATCGCTACCTACCGGAGGACAGCTGTACCCCGTGTTTTGGTCTACGCCGCCCTCCCAGGGAGACCGTGGCGGCGAGTACCCGCCCCCACCTTCGGCCCAGCCACCGCCGCTGTAATGATACCCTCCTCCGGCTTGTCCGCCGTAGTTCGCCGGCGGCTGCTGCCCCGGCCGAACCGCGTCCTTGACTCTCGAGACGAGGCCCCGCCATCTCGTCCCCAGGTGTAGGGGCTCGCCGTTGCCATCACCTGGTGCTGGAGGAGGGTACCGTTCGTTTCGTTGAGGGAACTGGCCGTTCACATGCTGCTGCTGCTGCTGCTGCTGTTGGTTGGGCGGGTACTGCTGCTGTCCTGCCCATCGCGAGTGCTGCGGGACGTACGGAGATCCATATGGTGGTGATGGTTGTGGTTGTCGCTCTTGCTGCTGCTGCTGCTGCTGCTGCTGTGGGTGCTGGTGGTAGATTGACGGGTCATGATAGCCGGCAGCAGCAGCTCCGTTCGCGGCAGCCGGAGCGTCTAAATTCCCTGGGCGGATATTGTTGTTGTTGTAGTAGTTGGCGGGGTCGACAGGAAGTTGATCATTTTGTGAACCCTGCTGTGGTTTGCTAGGCGGGTCTTCAGCGGGGAAGCTCGGCCAAGCACCGCCCGCTCCGCCTGCTGTGGAACCTGGTGCTCCCCATCCTGCGGAGGACGCGTGCGACGGCGCCAGGTGGAGAGAGCTGCAGGCAATTACTGCAGTTGCGAGAACCCGCTTCATCGATTTCCGACCCAAGGAGTTCAGCAACGCAACGTAGATGTTGACAGTATTTGTTTCCTCTTCCCTCCCCGGGCCAGTTGTTCGAGCAGAGACAGGAGCTCTCCTGGATGTGCTGCGGCTGTTCAGTGCTGCTCTGTCGGCGGCCGGGAGGGGCTTCGCACACTGGAGTATGTGCATACTGCGGAATGTAAGGGTGTACATTTCGCGTTGCCTCCCTTACTGTGACGTTGTGTGACACATACAGCAAGCAGTTGATGCACCTTCTCTATCTGTCTGCAATGGTCCATGCCTTTATCCAGGTTTTGCTAGCTGCCGCTTTATGGTTCTGCTATTCGCCGGTTGGAGCTTTTTATGTCCAGCTTGAATCCCGCACAAGGTGAATGCGGACCAACTACGGTACCCGACCGTTCGACTGTTCATGTTTCGTATGATAGGTTCACGTTCTCGTCAGATGCCGGGCTCATCTTCCTACCCTGGACCCTCACACGCACGGCTAGCATCGTACCTGTAGCGCTTGGGTTGTGTTGGAGAGTGTGGTGCGGGTAGTCCCGTCAAGCATTAACACGCACATGTATGTGTGTGGAGGGCCGCCTTGCCCAATGTATGCTGTCTTCGTTCCTTCTTTCCAAAAGGGAAGATCCGCCGTTGTGTGCCTTCGTCTGCGCTCTGCTTTGCTACGATCCATGACAACTCGCCGGGCGTACCAACCAAAAGGTGCACGTTGTTTGTCCTCAAACTTGTTCCGCAGCAGCAGGAGCAGCGGCAGGGAAACAAGTAGGCACGGACATCGGTTTCGTTGTCGCAGCACCCCGAGCGCATTAGGTGCCAAGGGCGATGATGGTGGTGGTGCACGAAGATACGACAAAGACGCGAGGGTCATCGTTGTCGGGGGCTCCGGGCGGGTGGGAGGGAGCACCGTGAGAGCTCTCCGACAGCTTGCAGGGCCGGGCCTCGAGCTCTTGGTTGGTGGACGGAGCCAGCGGAACTTCGTCAAAAGCGTCGAGGTACAAAAATATCCGTTCAAATCAGCTACAACTGTTGTTGACGCTGATTCTGCTGCTATGCATACGTGTTCTGCGCTGAGGTGCGACTGCCGTACTTCTATCAGGTAACACGCCGAATAGCGTCGGTGGGTGTCAGCCTCTTCTTCCACTTGCGTGGGCATACACCACAACAATATTATTTACACCCAACAAACAGCAGTGAGATGGTTCGTCCTCGTCTCACTCCATGACACCACCCAATCCCCGCTCGTCCTTCGCACCCCCTCGATGTCGCATCCTTCACGCGATTGGTTTGAGAACCTCTCGTGCACCACCAACAGCGATGGCGCACGCTGCCAGGAGCAGAAGAAGGGTACGACTACTCGGACGTGAAATTTGTCGAGCTGGACCTCGGCGACGCCGCTTCGCTGGCGAGCGCTCTCAACGGCTGCGACCTGGTAGTGCATACGGCCGGGCCGTTCCAGAGGAAGACAAGGCCGGAGGTGTTGGAGGCTGCGATAGCGGCAAAGGCGAGAGGAGGGCTCTTTCCAAGAGCTGCTTTGTAGGCCACGGTCATAAGATGTGCACGCAGTGATTGATGCTTGTTTCATCCTATTGGCAGCAACGGCTGTCCTGCAAAGAAGTCTTGATATTTCCCTTGGTTTGGGCACCTCATGAGTTCCCCGTTCCCTCGCCCTAACGGATCTTCGAGGCGTCTCTTCAAAGATGTGTGTCAAATGGTCTGGTGAGCAACAAGTGAATTCTTTCTCCTCGAGAACTGTCTGTCACTGTCTTTCTGCATAATAAATAATCCGTTTCATATATATTTTTGTACTGTTCCTGTTCGTGGCTCCAACTCGAGAGAAGGCGGGTGCTCACGCGCGTTACACACCACAGCTGTTACTTGCTGTAGCTCCCCGCTTCTTGCGCAGCACTCAGAATAGTAGCATTCGGTACTACCCACACCAGGTGTATATGCGTGTGCATCGGTCGCGCTAACCCTCCCACTTATTGAAAGAATAGCCATCAAGCTGACAGCGGGACGAAACAAAAGAAACACGCATTCCAGTCAGCGGGCGCCCCCGACGGGGGAGCTACCGGAGGGATCCAGTCTCCGGATTCAGGGTACATGTACGTGGCAGAAGGAAAACACGAAGCAGCAATACGTTGCCTTCCTGACCGCGGTATCTACCCCTCCTGTGCTGTCATCATTACCCTGTAGTGGATTTTGCTTTATCCGACTACTGTCTCTTCGCCCCAACGTGCTTGTTGCTGGCTTCAGCAGTTCGATTCTTTTTGGACGACTCTCTCGGCTGCGACCGCTGTCTTGTGCGTTCCCTTCCCCTCTGGCACATGCATACAGTTGCCGTACGTGGATGTCTGTGATGACGCTCGCTTGGCGACGGTGGCTAAAACGCTCAACGATAAAGCGCAGGAGGCTGGGGTCTCGGCGACAATATCGGCGGGAATTTGGCCCGGCATCGACCAGCTCATGGCGGTTGAGGTACGACCGACTGAACAGGTAGCAGCACACACTTGTTTCCGCATGAGCGAATGAACGGGTAGCAGCACACGTGTTTCAGAACCACGGTGAGGTCGTACGTCGCGAGGGAGGTTCCCGCCCTTTGCATCCAACCAGTGTTTTTATTCGAGTAGTTTGAGCGTAACGGGAATGGCGCATCTCGCTCTCGCCTGTTGCACAAATTTACAGCGCATGTACACGCACTGTTGCGCGTCTTGGTGTTGACCCTGTTCCCCGTTTCATGTCCCCTCGACCCTTCTCTCTGCGGCTTTCTCCTACTCCGTGTGTCCCCTCGGGGTGGGCGCCGGTGTGGTCGGGCGGGGGCGCATTACGCGACGCAAACATGAACTACAGGCATGCGAGATGCTTGGTGGCGCCAGCGAGGTGGAGTCAATCGACTTTTCGGCGTACACGGCGGGAACGGGGAACGCGGGCACCACCATTCTAAGCGCCACGGTACGCGAGCGGCGGCGTGATCGATTACCAAAAGGAATCGCCCCCCTTGAATGTTTTAGCCGATTAGCAAACGCCACGGTGGTTGGTCTTGGATATTTCTACCGTACGGCAAGCGCCACGCCGGTTCGTTGTCCCGTACTATCTTGGTCGTGGGCGTTTTTTCCTACTCATCGACCCACCCACCCCCTACCCTAACTCCTCCCGGTTCCAAACCATGGGGCCCCCGTTTCATCCCCAGCTTTCCCTTTCGTCTCCCAATCCTCTGCCGGTTGATTCGCCACCTCCTCTCCCACAGTTTCTCATCCTATGCGAGAAGGTTCTCGGCTTTAAGGATGGCAACGAGATTTTCCACGAGCCAGCCAGCGGCTTCAAGAAGGTCGACTTCGGGCAGTCTATCGGAGAAAAGACGGCGAGTCGTTTGCGCAGCAGACACGACACTTTTTTGAGGTTGGATACACCCCGTGCAGATTTTGAGCCATTGGGTCCGTACAACAGCATGCACAGAGTCGCGGTCTACGTTTGCTTTAGCAAGAGAGAGGTCACACGTGCGGTGTGAGGTTGGTTTCGCGAGTTTTCACCCGATGCTGGCGGCGCACCCCTTGCCCTGGGCTAAAGTACCCTTCTCTTCTTGAATCCCCCTTTCCTTACGGGCTCATGATTGCGAGGGCCATCACGCGGCTCTGAGAGTGTGGATCTCGAAACGCCCACGCCGTTGCATGCCGCTCCGCGTATGGCAGCGCGGCATGTGCACGCCGGCGGCATGGCTCATGAGCACAAGCGAGCGCTGTCACTGCGAGTGGCAGGGATCCGCCGTGGTGCTGGTGGCGGCGGAGTGAGCGTGCTTGCGCCGACCCCCCCAAAGCTCCGATGTTGTTCGTCTTGTCGTCACCAACAAAAATGAAAATGATCTCCGTGCTACTTGGGTGCTCTCTCTTTGTCCCTCTCCCCACCTCTGTCCGTCTCCCTGTCTCTCTGTCTCATTCTCTCTTTCTGGGTTTGCTAGGTTTTCCGGATGAACCTTATCGAGTCCTTCACGTGCAACCAAGTTCTCGGTATTCCCAACATCAGCACGTGAGTAGCCGTCATGGCGGTCCTACGCTGTATGGTTGTATGAAACTGCCAACCGTAACTCTCAACTCGATATCGCGACCACTTGGGGGGTCTCTTGGACGGCGTGCCTGCGCGCGCGTTCGGCGGAGGAGATCTATGTGCTTCTTGGACCCTCAAAACAAACAAATGCGATTCCCTGTCCACTCACCCCCGTCTCACGACAAGGCCAGTGATTCCATGACGAACACGATTGAATAATGCAGCAGAGACAGCACCTATCCAGTGACGAAAGTATCTCCCCGCCTAATACGTGGTTTGAATTGATGTGCTCAAATGATGAAGAACGGTCCTAAACGGCAACAAAAAATCAGCGTAACACCCTATAATTCCCTTGTAACCGCAAACTCGTGGCTTCATGTTACCAGTTACTTCGGCACGTCTCCAGAGCCGTGGAACTACTTGCTGAAGGGGATGACTCTCCTGCCCGACAGCATAATGGGCAACCGTGACCTCATGCAGGCGCTCGCGGAGTTTTCTGAGCCCCTGGTCCGAATAACGGACAAGCTGGTGAGAGTTGGGAGAATAGATGGACGCACCAAACTGACCGTTATCTTGGCGAGCGTCTCGTGAAGTTTTTCCTCTTTTGTATGTTTGGCTTTTTTCTTGCTGACGAATGTACTCCTTATTTCGTTCACGGCCGGCCTCCGCACCGGAGCTCTGCGGCGAGAAGGGCTTTGGCGTTGGATGTGGATTCTCTCTGTCACGCCGTCGTAGTCCTCCTGAAGACAGACAGACAGACAGGCAGGCAGACAGGCAGACCGAGCGAGAGGCAGAGACCGAGACCGAGACAGAGACAGAGGCACAGACAGAGGCAGAAACAGAGACGGAGAGACGGGGGGGTGGGGGGCGAGAGAGAACAATCGGGGCTTTTGGGTACAGGAGTCAGTTGTGGTGAATAGTACCCCTACCCCTGCGCTGCGCAGCTGTGACCCTGCTTCGCAGGTGCAGCGTAGCACGTCACTGACCTCCGAATCGCGGTTGGTAGCAAGGAAGACGCTTTCGGGTGGTTCGTCTGTCTTCGTTCTGGGCAAATGTGCGAACTCAGGAACCATCGACACCACTGCTGACCTTTCCCTCTCTCTCTCTCTCTCTCTCTCTCTCTCTCTCTCTATCCATGGTCTGCCTCAACACGGAACGTGCAAACGCATGCACGTCGTTGCTCCAAAACCCAAACAACACAAGGTTGGAGCAACGAACGCCATGCGGCTGGAGGCGGTGGCCAAGGACGGTAGAAAGGCTGTGCTAAACTACGCTCACGAAGACCTCGAGGTCTGCGTGGGCATTGCTACGGCCGCCTTCGTCGTCGCGACCCTCAGGGGAGACGTGAGTGCGCACACCGCTATGCACACAAGACCAGCAAGGCACCAAGACCAATTTTCAATGCTGGCTCAGACTGTTGTCGGCAGACAACAACAGAGGAAAATCACACGTATTGCTCTGCCCGCCCCTCTTACGCATTGATTTCTGGACTTTCCTCGCGTCAGATATACCTACCCATCCCCCGCCGCGCTGCGCTGCTACCATGCTGCACCCTACCCCGTGCCGTGCCGTGCCCTGCTCGGGTTGCTAACGAGCGATGTTGTTCTTCCCCTTCTTATTTTGCGTGTTGGTTGGGGGTGGGTGGGGGGTCTGATCCGACCGCGGGTAAAATTTCGCTGTTCGGCAAAACAACAGGTGCGACCCGGGGTGTGGTTTCCCGAGGAAGCTTTCGATGATGAATCCAAGCGGGGGCGGCTTTTCGACGACGCGACGAGAGGCGCGTTCATGTGGGAGCGGCAAGAGCAGGGGGCGGCGGCGGTGGAGGGAGCTCCGTTGTAGCGTTAGAAAGGGCTTTCTTCGAACACGAAAACGATTATTTTCGCGGGGGTTCTTGGAACCCCGTAGTTTGCAAGAATTGGACGAGGGTGGTTCACGGGTAGTATTGTGGTAGTAAATAGTGCGACTCTACCGCACCCCGAGACGATGGCATTGGCGTGGGGGGGGGGGG